TGTGGAACGTAATGTTAAGATTCAGTTTCTGTATTAAATCAACAGACAATATATTGTTACAATTTTCAGTGCTATTTTCCAGCTCCTAAGAACATCAAACCAATTATTACTGAAAATGTCAAGCATTCAACTTAAATAAAATTGTCATGATAATTTTAATTGTATTCAATGTGTGTTACATTTAATGTGCTCCCAAACAGCTGATTTTTCTATCTGTGTTATATATGGAGTGAAGCAGTAGTCATGGTGATCCCAGGATACTGCAGAGAAAAGTTGGGTGAAGTGATTTCTTTTAGTAGACTAACTTCCGTTGGTGAAAGAGACAGGCACTATGTGTAGCTTGAAAGCTTGTCTCTTGCACCAAGAGAAGCTGATCCATTAAATGCTATTATCTCACCCACTTTGTCTCTTTTATATATTCAGCATAGTCACATTAAAGAATTTGCACATATTGGAAAGTTATTGTATTTAGATATGCTGAAAAATGGGTTGTTTGTAATAGAAGTGTCACAGAGTAATTGATGAGTAATGCAGGGTGTTATATTTATTATATTTACAATTATGGTTGATGGTATTTAGCTCAACTTCTGTTAGATTTCTGCCATTTCCTCTGATACAAAGAGACCTTTTGTTTATTAGAATTAAGAAGAATGTTGATGGGAAAAAAGAGACTTTTTGCTATGCTATCCTAGCATCTGTGAGTAGAGACCATTTCTGCTACTCTGCGTCTCCTCTTGACTGTTGCTGAAGAGAATGGGGAGTGTGTTCACTTCTGTACTCACTGGAACTCACAGGGATCTTAACAGCAATAGTGAAAATGACCTGGTCCCTGTTAGTTTGACTACGACTGCTTGACAAAGCAATAAGCAGAAGCCTGGTTTGTATTTAGGTCACATTTGGACAGCAGCCTGTCTTCATAGGCCTATGGGCTAAATACTTTTTATTATAAATGAAACTTTGTCTGCTTCAATGGATGGTTAGGTTTCCCTGCCACAGTAGGACAAGCTTTTTACTTCCATGGATGGGTGTAGTGAGCAAGTGGAACTTTCAAGCCCTGTTACTAAGTGTCTAAACAGAGAGCATATGGGGTAACATGACCTCATTGCCCACTCAGGTTATGTCTACACTGTGGAGCTATTTCAGGATACTTCTGGTATCCCAAAATATCCCAAAATAGCTATTCTGCATTTTAAGAGCAAGCCCGTTATATCGAAATAATAACGGGTTCGCTATTCTGACATCCCTGTAAACCTTATTGCACGACAGTTAAGGGACATTTTGGAATAGTGCTTTATTTCAAAATTTGGCATTTAAATTCATCTGCCATTTTATTGCCCAGTCACCTAGTTTTGTGAAATCCTTTTGAAGCTCTTCATAGTCTGCTTTGGACTTAACTATCTTGAGCAGTTTGGTATCATCTGCAAATGTTGCCTCCTCACTCTTTATCCCATTCTCCAGATCATTTAGGAATATATTGAATAGGATTGGTCCCGGTACAAACTCCTCCGGGACACCACTAAATATCTTTCTCCATTCTGAAAATTGGCCATTTATTCCTACTCTTTGTGTCCTATCTTTCAAACAGTTATCAGTCCATGAGAGGACTTTCACTCTTATCCTGTGACAACTCACTTTGCTGTACTTTATGTAGTACATTTCTTTTGAATAATCTCTTTTGTATCACTATAATTAGCCACTGGTCACAGACTCCCAGTGGGATGTTGGTTGCAGGCACCCAGGCCATTCAAGCCTGATGAGTCATGGTTGGAAACCACCCAGAGATCCAGCCAGAGATTGGTACAACTACAGGTTCCACGTAGAGAGAGGTAAAGATAGCAAAACATATCACCTAAGCAAGTGCAGCTGAGAGAGATGGCAACGGGAGATGGGGTTTAAGGCTCCGCTCTCCCTGTGACTATGACAGTACAGTTGGTAGAAAGGCAGGGGGATTGTATTCAGATGACCCAGTCTAGAGCAGGGTGAAGCACAGAGTTCCAAGCTGGTAGAGGTGCTGTTATGCAGATAGAAGGTTGTCATTTGGAAATAGTGTCCACACAAAGACTGACACACAGATCTCAGGTGCAACTCATCCATGAATCATGATAGGCCCCTTTGAGGTTATCAGATGAGTTATGTCACATACATGAAAAATGTACCTGCTGGGAATTCCTCTTTGTTCCCACAACTAAGCAATCGTTTTTTTCCTAAGCCATCAGTTAAGTATTTATCAAAAAACATTCTGCGCATCTTTGTTTTATTTTAAAACCATCCAGGCCTATGGTATCTGTTTTTCTTTCTGTGGTTACTGATATCACACGACACAGCAAAATGAGTGGTACACTGGGTATATTTTATTTTAATCAAAATATTTTCTCTCATTGTATTCCATCAAATCACATATGTATCTCTTTTAGAAGACTGAAATGTTGAGTTCAGTCCTTCGTGTACCTTTCACTGAACTGACGTATCAAGTTTAGTGCTTGATATATTATGTTCAGTTCTTAGTCTGTTTATTTCAGTGAGGGTTGCATATTGTGTCAAGGGAGTGATATAGTGATATAGTTGCTCCTTATGCAACCCATCAGGTTGAAAATATGATTTATTAGTAAAAGCTGACACATTTGATTCAAAGTGTTGGTGATAGATTTAAAAGTGAACGTTTCTCCTCAGTAAACGTATCTGATTTAGAAAGCGACAAATATCTGTCCTTGAAAAGGATCATATTTACAGTAGTTGAGTTTTGGATCAGTCAGATTTATTGCAGAATGTATTCTTTTGTATCTAGTTTTGTGTTTTCTGAACTGAAAAGGAATCAGTGTTCCTCCAGGTTACACAAGCACAGAGTGTCAGAGAGATGAATCTGCTCCTGGCACGAGCCTCATGTTATGTACCATTATCCAGACACATCTATAGCCAACCTCTGGTTGCATCACTGACCATTGTGCTTTATAGGTAGCTGGCAGACACTTAGGGGAAAATATAGATTATCTTCAAATAATTATAGTCTTATTTCTATACCTAGGCTTTGTTACCACAATGCTGCTTAAAGTGTTTTAATTTAAATACTTCATTCTTTGTCATTTTAATATTATATGGAAAAGAATGTTCTCTTCTGTAAACAGCAAAAATACATAATTTAACAGAATGTATCTGCATCTCTCTAATGGAACTTTTTATTACATGTTATATAGTCTAGAACTATGATGCGATGATATGCTACAGTATGTATGAAACAGAAAAGTGATGACTGTTATTTCACCAGCGTACAATTTTATAATGCTCAGAATTTGGTTTCAGATAAACTAAATATATGAATAGTCACAACATTAATCATACTTAAATTATAATTTACTACATATGAATGGTCACACTGTGTCAAACTGTGTTTTGTTAGTCTAGTATCCTGTCTTCTGACAGTAGCTAGTGTCAAATGATTCAAAGGGAATGAACAGAACAGGACAATTACTGGGTGATCTGCCCCCTGTCAGCGACTCAGCTTCTGACAGGGATTTAGGGACACTGAGAACATTTGGATGGGTCCCTGACCATCTTGGCTAATAGACATTGGTAGAACTATCCTCCATGAACGTATTTTATTCTTTTTTGAACCAAGTTATACTTTTAGCCTTTTCAGCACCTCCTGGCTATGAGTTCCAGAGGTTTTGTGTGAAAAACTACTTCCCATGTGTGTTTTAAACCTTCTATTTATTAATTTCATTGAATGACTCCTGGCTTCTGTGTTGTGAGAAGGAGTACATAACACTTCCTCAGTCACTTTCGCCACACTATTTATGATTTTATAAATCTCTATCATTTCCCTGCTTATTTCCAATCTTTTTAACTGCTCCAGATATGGAAACTGTTCCATATCCCTAATCATTTTTGCTGACCTTCTCTGTACTTTTTCCAGTTCTGTTTTTTTAGATGGGATGTCCACACTTGCACTCAATATTTTAGGAGTGGAAGCATCATGGATTTATATAATGGATATGATATTTTTCTGTCTTATCCCTTTCTTAATTGATACTAACATTCTATTAGCTTTTTTGACTGCTGCTGCACAATGATCAGATGTTTTAGAGAACTATCCACAATGACTCTAGGATCTATTTCTAGAAAGGTAACAGCTAATTTCAACCCCATCATTTTATATGTATAGTTGTGATTGTTTTCCAATGTGCATTACTTTGCATTTATCAACGCTGAATTTCTTTGCGATTGTGTTGCTCAGCCACCAAGTTTAGTGAAAGCCCTTGTAACTCATTGCAATCAGCTCTGGACTTAATTATTTTGAGTAATTTTGCATCATCTGTAAACTTTGCCTCCTCACTTTTTACTGTTTTCTCCAGATCAGTTATGAATATGTTGAAATGGTTTTCTCTCTTTTAACCAGTTACTAATCTGTGAGAGGACTTTCCATCTTATCCCATGACTGGTTACTTTGTTTAAGAACCTTTGGTATGGGACTTTTTCAAAAGCTGTCTGAAAGTCCAGACATACTGTATTCACAGGATCACCATTGCCCACATGTTTGTGGACACCTTCATAGGATTTTAACAGATTGGTGAAGCATTATTTCCCTTTATGAAAGCTATGTTGACTCTTCTGCAATATGTTACATTCAGCAGTGTTTCTCACAATTCTGTTCTTTACTATAGTTTTAATCGATTTGCCTGATATTGAAATTAAGCTTTTTGAACCAGTACAAAACTCATTTGTTGAGGCAGTTGTTCTGGCTCCTCATTGTTTCAGCTGCTTTAATGGTTTTCCAGGATCTTCACTTGAAAGAGCTTTGCTTTCAGTGTTTTCATTGGTGTCAAAGAGGAGGAGCAAGCACCATGTGAACTTGCAGGTATTCTTGGGCCATAAGCAAGTACTGTGCAGACCATTGGTGGGGTACATATCCTTAATTTGAGAACTTTTGTTTATAAAGCTAAATAGTGTGTGAACTTCATCTGCTTATTTCCTAATGCCATCGTTATCACTTTTGGCTGTTTCAGATAAGAAGACAAGGAGGAATACAGTTACTGGTGGACCTGTTGGACCATCGAATGACAGAAGTCCACCGTAGTGCCTGTGGAGCTTTGAGAAACCTGGTATATGGGAAAGCAAATGATGACAACAAAATTGCCCTGAAAAATTGTGGCGGTATCCCAGCACTAGTACGGTTGCTCCGCAAGACTACAGATTTGGAAATCCGAGAACTGGTTACAGGTTTGATTTTATGTACTTTTCTTATGAATATCAAGTACTAACTAGGTACTAGCTCAGTACTATTTGTGAATCATACTGATATGTATCAGTTGCTTCATAAAAACCTTCTGCTTTATTGCCATTGTCCCAACTCTGCAACTATCATATGTCAACAGGTGTACACTTTCAGGTTCTATAGACAAGAGAAATATTGATCGACTCCAATCAATATTTAACAAACATTTACTGAAGCATCAGTTATTTTCTGGATAGCTGTTTGTTTGTTTTGGTTTAGTTTTGGTTGTTTGGGTTGGGTGGGTTGGTTGGTTTGTTAAGGCTGTTTTTCCACTAGTGGAGAACTTCCTTTTTTCAGAGAGAGAGAGGCTCTCTTTCAGTGATGACTGTATATGAACAGAGTTTGCTTTTCATAAACCTTTGGCACATTATATCAGCTTCCCCTCCTCGAAGAGAGTGCTTCCAAATATGTGAAAGAAAATATGCAAAGCAAAACAAGGAAGATTTTTAAATCCTCTGTATTTTGACCCTTCACTTGGCTATTAAATTGTCAGTGATGGAAAAATTAATTTCATGTTACAAATCAAAAAATATTAAGGTCTAGTGTCAGTATCTAGAGATACTGCCAGTATCTCCACTGAAACTTTTTTACTATTGTGAATGATAAAAAATGTAGTCTTTAGTGATACAAGGCTCAGTATACACATACACCTTCCCACTTTCTCTGAAGATCATCCACTATTTAAGATGATAAGAAAACCAGCCATGTATTAATTTGGAGTTTCCTTGCTCAAGGCTGTATGAATCAGCTCCATGATATATTTTAAGTGAAGATTTTTGTATTTAATTTTGTTTCTTAATTATCACACCTTTCATCTCATACCTGTTACCCAGGATTTATTAGATTCTTCTTGTCAAGAAGATGCCATTTTGCATGGGGCTTTGATGATGCATCCTGCTAAGTGACAGAATTCCTGACAAATCTAATAAAGTAAAGCTACTACTTCAGCGTAAACCTATTTGTTCTCCTCTTAGTTGTGTTGTCTGTCTCCAGACTCCAGTGAGCACTCTGCCTGCTTACTCTGAGCAAATGAGTAGCAAAATGCTAACAAACTCCTTCAGTAGCTATCATGGAGGTTTCTATGGTGTCTGTTGCTGTAATACCAAAGAGATTGATATCCTTATATTTTAAAAGAAAACTAGAGAACTGTGCCCTCTACTTGCTACGCTCGTCTACCTCTCCTCTCCCTGGCCGCTTTCTCTTCACTGAGAGAACCTGTTGGCGTTGATGACGTGATGGCATCATTCTGTCGCCCAGCAGGAACATTCTGTCATCCATCAGGAAAAACTTTTTCATATGTAGAGAAAGATAATCTACCTTTTCTATTTCATCCATTAAACAATATATCTTTGAATTCTCATGCACTACCAATGACAAAAATAAGCTAACATGCCTTCAGATTGGTTATCTTCAAACTGTGTGATTGCTAATGACAAGCGTCACACTCTGACCCATAGTAGTTGTAACCAGTAGCTGCAATGACAGCTGTAGGGAAGAGGGCGGATCCCAGTCAGAAAGAGTACTTTAAAAGGGGAGAAATGAGTAGAGCTGGGCAAAGTGAAGCTGCTGAATGGAATCAAAGCCATTTGTAGCTCAGGATTTCATTGAGGTTTTTTTACTCGTTTCATGCCAGAGGGGTAATTTGTGGCCCCTGGCTGTGTTACTGAATGGGAGACACTTCAGGGTTGATAATGAATTACTGCTAGTGCTCCTGCTTTGCTGAGCTCTTGTCTAAAGAAACAATGTTCACTGTGCCTCAAAGTTTGGATCCTTTGGTTGCTAGACTGGTACTGGGCATCTTAATTGGAGCCCCGGCCCTTCTTGCTCTTGTAAAGAGTCTGTAGCATAGGAGCTGCCACCAGTCAGATTTCTTCCCTTTCTGGAAAGAGAAAATTAATTCTCTCAGTGGCCTCCTCTTGTAGTTGTGTGAAAAGAATAGTTTTTTCGTACGACACCTAAACTGGTGTAGGCACCAGGAAGAGGAAGCGTCTGTTAGATGCAGTCACCTTCTTGAATGGGATGAAGGGGAGATTTCATCTTAGCAGATCTTTTGGCCAGTGAGCGAATGTATGGTGACCAGGAGGCAATTATAGGCAGCTCCTGGCTGGCAGCCTCAGCAACCTTTTGGCATGTTCCCTGGCTGCCGCAGCCCCACACACCATTCAAAGTGGCCAGCTTCTGGGACCAGTGTGGGTGTCTCTGTGCATTCCTTGGGGGGAGGGGAGTCTCCATGAGCTGCCCTCACCCCCAGAACAACCCTGGAAGCTACCATTGGCTGGAAATCTACCAATGGGAGTTTCAGGGGCAGTGCTTGTGCACACATGCAACGTGCTGAGAACGGCTAGCTCTTTCCCCGCAAGGGGAGCACCATGCAGAGACTCATGCGGTGGTCCCAGCAGTCAGATGCTTTGAGTGGCACATGGGGCTGCAGCAGACAGGGAGCCTGCCTGAGGGTCCCACTGGACTGTGGTGTTTGGCTGGCCAGATCCAGCCCACAGGCTGTATTTTGCCCATCTCTAGGACAGAGGGAGAGTGTTAGCGTGGGAAAGGGAATGACTGTATTCCAGGTGGAGAACCTGCGTCCACTTCCCCGATCCAATGACTCTTTCACTCTTTATCCACAGTGGATCATCTTCAACAGGAGAGACATAGGGAATCCTATAGCAGAATATCCCATAGCACAGTGATTGCAGCTCCAGGTGACCCCTGTTCATATCTTCTCTCCTCCTGTGTTAGAGAGGGGTGAAATTGAGCCTGAGCCACTCACTTTCCCAGCAAGTGCTGTAAACCCCGTGCTAAAAGTTATAAAGCAGACTCCATCAGCTCCCCCACCACCTAGGTCTTGAATAGGAGCCAATTCAGAGCGTGGCCTCTGAGCATGCCTACCAAATTAGCCCTGAGTGCAAGTTAGTCAGCTGAGCCCATATCTTCTTCCCTAGCTTGTGAATTGTTCTGTGATGTAGGTGAGAGCTGGGCATCCTGAGACCTGGATGGAGGCAGCAGCATGCACATCCCAAAGCTGAAACTTGGGTACCAACTGAGTGTAGGCTCCGGCAAGATTTGCCAGTTTTACTTATCACAGTGGAGCCAAAACTGACACCTCAGTTTTGTATCTGGGCCTGAGAGACTAAATGACCTGCCAGGGGTCATACAGGAAGTCAGAACAGGGACTTGAACATGTGTCTTCTGTCATGTAAGCTAGTAGCCTAAACACTGGATGATTCTTTTCACAGTTGTATACAATTGAATTTACGGTGAAACATTTTGAATGTCCTATAAAACAGGCTTGTAGCTTCATCCTTTGTGAGCAGTGCACTCATTTCAAATTCATGTTGAAAATGACTTAAAATTATTCTTATTTGGAACTACAAGGTGTTCTTTTGGTAACATCTCTGTTCCTATTAATCCCCCAAAATTATCTCTTAAAATCCTTTTCTGTTTAAGCAAGCAATATTGAACTTAAAGGGACTGATCCCGTACCCTTTGGTACTATAAATGAGGCTGGGGGTAATGGAGTAAAAATAATGTAAATATCTACATACAAGTTACTGTAAAATTAGTTTTAAAGTGCACGCGTGATACTAATTAGGCATAAAGATCAATACACTTGAGAAGCCATATAATCATACAGGAACAGAAAGACTTTTTCTAGCTTTTGCAATTTTGGTTACTGGATCTTTGTCAAAATAAGAGAATTTTACACTCTAGGCTTTCAAGTATATTTATATTCTGCAAATGCAGGCATGCCTATAAACATCTGGACAGTTTGCACTGTAAAATCTGTTTACAGCAGAATATATTTATCCACTGGCTAAATGTAGCTGTATAATAGATAATTTTCTTTCCATAAAATGATTATTGTGAAAGATTAGCAGTATTTTATTTAAATCCTTTTGGAGACATTGTATAATTATTTTGCTTGAAATAATCTTACACAAATATTCTTAAAATTCAGAGGATATGTTAATATTCTTGAATGTCTTGCCCAGTTTAATTTTTCTCTGTGATTTGCATTCATCTATGCAGCTTATCAGTCTCACAGAAGGTTTAAGAAATTGTTATAATCCCTGATAATATGCAAGCTAGTGAACGAAAGGAATTGTCTCTTCAGTATATTTTCTAAAGTCCTACTTTTGCCTCATTCCTTTTTTAAAAAATTCCTTAAATTGGCAGATGATTCTATACAAAATAAAACAGTATCCTCCTCTCACAAAGCACGGTAGGGTTTACTGAGCTGTAGCCATACCCAGCTCCTGGCACACTTGGCTACATCTCCACCACACCTCTGTTGCGCAAAACCTAAGCGAATGAAGTGCAGATTAGCATATTGCTGTGATTCATTTGCATAATTAATTGCGGAGCAAAAGCACCCTCTTGAGCAAGAGTTCTTCCTCATTTTTTCAAGAAGAACGTCTCTTGTACAAGAGGGGTTTTTTGTGCAAAAGAAGCTGTGTAGCTGGCTCCTTTTTGTGCAAAAGCCTCTTCTACAAAAAAGGCCCCTAATTAATTATGCAAATGACATGTGGCAATATGCTAAGCCATGCTTCATTTGCATAGGCTTTTGTGCAAGAGAGGTGCAGTGTAGACATAGCTTGCTGTTTTCCTTGTGCCCAGTCTAGTTGTTCATCACCCCATTGCCCCTGCAGAGGGACGGACTATAACATGCTTTCTCCTTGGCTGTGTCTAAACTGCAGGGTTTTTTTTGAAAAAACTTCACCTGCATCTAGACTACAGCCGCATTCTTTCGAAATTAAATCGAAAGAACGCGGCTTTTCTTTTGACTGCGGTACTCCTCATTTCACGAGGAAGAACGCCTTTTTTCGAAAGTGCTCTTTCGAAAAAAGGCGTTCTTGAATGCAAACAGGGCTTTTTCGAAAGAGAGCATCCAGACTGCCTGGGTGCTCTCTTTCAAAAAAGTGGCTTGCTTTTTCAAAAGTACTGCTTG